TCTAATTAATTTCTTTAAATTTGGAGGCCCAGAAACCATGTCCTTTATCTAAATAAATTCACAAGAATTTTTGTAAGAAGGACTTTGAAATGTGTCAGTTATTTTTGCTTTTGTTATCTCGTTTGTTTCCACCTAAATTTTGTTTTGTTCTTAAAGTATGATAAATTTAGAGCGATCCTGAGGATTTTGCTCCCAAAAAACCAACCTACATAGATTTGACAGCACCAGAAAGTTCTCCTGCGAAGAAACTTGAGGAAACTCCCTTAAGGTACCATTAATAATTCTTCACGATAATTAGAAATAAAAGAAGTAATCTTTTAGGCGTATGGAGATGATGACAAACTCATCAGCGTTTAGTACCTCCTCTAGCATAAATGATGTTGTAGAAGCGCCTACCAATGGAATGTGCAAGAAGTGGGTAATTCATTTTCTAGCGTTCTCAACATTAACATTTTTTTACAGAGATGAGAGGTCAGCAAAGTTGGAGAAGTTGGGTGAGATGGAGCGACAAGTTGAAGCTGAAAGACTTCGTGTCGAATGGGAGAAGGAGGTCCAGGCACATGAGGTTGGTTGTTTATTTCTTCATTTCTTTGTGTTATTCTTCTGCATATTTTTGGAACGTTTGAATTTAAATGAAGACTGCCTCATTGTCATTCAAATTCGTTTGGGCGCATAATTTTTTTGTTGTTGCAGATGAAAAAACTCATGCAAAATCAAGGACTTTCACCATACTCCTCCCCAATGTTCCCACAGCCTCCAGTCTCGGGTACGTTAGATCTATGGTGTAACCTTTGCTTTTTCTTACTTTTCTTAGCAAATGTAATCTTTAAATCTATTGTGTTGAGAATTTTGCATGCTTTGTCGCTTTTTATTTGTTTAAAAACCTTTTTCCTTTGCCCAAAGTTCTGTTGATTACCTTTTCAGGTCTTTACTCTTTAACGATAGTACTTTTCAAATTCTGCTTAGTGCTAAATCATGTTTTAGGACCTCCAGGCGGGATGTATCAAATGGCTTCTTATCCAGGCCGTTATCCACCAACTTCAAGTGGTTATCCCATGGGAGCCATACCAACGGGTGCATATCCTCCTGGATACCCCGGGATTCCTGGATTTCCCCCTGGTTAGTCACAGTACTTTTCATGTCATGAATCA